AAGTGCAGGCTCAATGGACCGATCCATAATGGACTACGCCAGAGATCAGCGAAGGGATTACCAGAGTCTGAAGCCAGTCAACCAAGCAGAAATCCCAACCAAAACAATCGGGCTATGAATGGAAATTGCAGCACACTGTATAAACACACAAACTCGCACCCCCAGCATGACCCAGGACAACCAAAGCATGCCCCCAGCTAAGCAAATGGGGCCCCTGCAGGACGATGGCCGGCACTTAGCTTGAAGCAATGGGATTTGCCCACGACTGGCAGACCAGAGCACTGCGGACAGAACTTTATACCACTGCATCAGCAACAGAACTCTATGGTCAAGGCAGCTAGCTGTGGGCTGCCTGGTGGTGGAAACCTTCTTATACCGAGTTTGAGTGAATCCCTTGTTCTGTGTGAATCGTATTTGAAATTGTTCGGTCGTTTTGATGCTTTGCTTTTTGCGAACTACTCCAGTTGTCTGTAAAGCTTCATAGACTTCCTGGATGCTTTCCTGGTAGGGTGGCAAACTCTCACTTGTTTCCTGTGTCTGTGAGGGGGCTATTTTCTTTCTCTGGTTCCCCGCAAGGCCAAACAGAACTTCCGTGACCGATGAGGCCTTTTAGTATGCAGCACTCTCACCAAAATAGGTTCAGGAAGCCACACTGGGGCTTTCCCAGAAGACATGGATCCATTTTGAGAAAAGCAATATTTATATATTAATGTTTCAGGGACTTGTATAAATGGCTAAATTTAAAAAAAACTTGCAAGTGCATAAATTGCTTTAGAATATAACACTATATAGGTATACAGTACCTGGTGAGAATATTTGTTAGTGTGTGTGTGTGTGTTTCCTGTGATGGCACTGTGTGTGTAATGTATTTTGAAAAGTTTGATGCAACTAATCACTAAACTCGCATTTACCATATAAAGTGCATTTCGGTCCTATTCTCAGGTCCCTTCCTACCCATTAAAAAGCATAAAGTAAAGTAATAATAGTGATAATGAAAATAAACTCCTGAATACTGCCTTGTTTAATTTGTTAAGAATAATTGTAATTATTCTTAATGGACTGAAAAATTAAATATTCAAAGGATACATGGTAGAGTAAGAAGTAGTGTAGAAGTAGAAATAGTGTAGTATAGAAATAAAACAAACTGAAAATAATCTTTGTAATAAACAGTAGGTAAAGAGCTTGAATCAAATACATAAATTGTAGGGAATCATTATTTGATCTGGAAGAAACAAGACTTTAAGTGTACAGCATTTTATGACCTAGGTGCTTAGGTGCTTCCTTAGGCAAGGTTATGTTGATATCTGGTTGATGGGGTTCTGGGAGTTCTACTCCCCAAGCCCGGCCCAAGGCCAGGCTTGACTTGTGAGAGTTGTTGTGTTCATGGATAATACAGGTCAATATTTAGCACCTGTTTGGTAGGAATCTTTCCAAATGACCCCTGCAGGGACATACTGGTGCAAGAAAAACACTAAAGACTCGATGCTGTCCAGAGTGACTACCAGAAGATACTGTCTCATGCAGAATGATCTCCAGAAGATACTGTCACATCCAAAATGATCTCCAGAAGATACTGTCCCATCCAGAATGATCTCCAGAAGATACTGTCCCATCCAGAATGATCTCCAGAAGATACTGTCCCATCCAGAATGATCTCCAGAAGATACTGTCCCATCCAGAATGATCTCCAGAAGATACTGTCACATCCAGAATGATCTCCAGAAGATACTGTCCCATCCAGAATGATCTCCAGAAGATACTGTCCCATCCAGAATGATCTCCAGAAGATACTGTCCCATCCAGAATGATATCCAGAAGATACTGTCCCATCCAGAATGACTTCCAGAAGACTCTCTTCCATCCAGAATGGCTTCCAGAAATGACCAGTGTTCATCCTCCAATACCTACTGCACTTCCTCTTCAGGAAACAGGAGGGCAGAATGACTACATCAGCCAGGCACCTGTGGACACTGAATTCAGCTATGAAAAGATGGTGCAATAGAGGAAGAGCCTGGACAAGCAGTTGACAGGGAGCAATATATTATTATTATTGTTATTACTAATATTATTTATTATTATTATTAATTTTTATAAAGTACATTTGAAACATAATACAGTAGAGCATTTGTATGTAAATCTTAGGACAGAATAGGAGCATGGAGGCAATGTTAGCCTTTATATTGTCCCACATTTTCAGATACAGTATCTCTGTTTAATATTATCAAATGAAAAACAAACAAAATTTAACTTCGTGAGCTAGAACATTTTATGAATAAGTGGGGGAAAATAAAAATAAAAATCATATTTCCCGGTGTTGGTCTGGCATAGTCACTTACTTGGAAGCAAATTTCTCTGCAGTCACCAAGGTGTTAATACGTTCACTGTCTCCTTTGAAATAACCATGCCCTGATCCAACCAATGTACCATGCATGGTACAGTACATTGGTTGGATGTACCAATGCAATGATGATTGGTGCATCCAACCATGTACCTCTTCCTCCCTAATGAGTTTTTCATAAGGCACGGTATCAAAGGCTTTGCTAAAGTCAAAGTATAGAATGTCGAAGTCCATTCCACAGTTAACTGCCGGAAATGTATATCCTGAAAAGAATGAGTGTAGATTTGTTAAACAAGAGCAGTCCTTACCAGAATCATGTTGTAAACCCTTTATTAATCTGTTTTTCACATGTATAAACAAATGGTTTCTTCAATTATTGCTTCATGCAATATTTTTACAACAGACTTAAAGCTAATGGGTTGATAGTTCAACACGGGTGATCAATCTCCCTTCTTAAAAATTGGCACCGTGTTTGCGATCCTCCATGATTCTGGTACTCTGCTAGACCAATGATTTATTAAATATACAAGAGAAGAGCTCATTAAACTGCTTTTGACAGTCTTTAAGAACCCTAACAAATGCTTTGTCTGGCTCTTGGGAGTTATTTGGCTTTCATTTTCCATCTGTTTAATAACTTTCTTCCGGGTAACCCACTCTACAACAATTATGGGATCCGACCTCTGACTGAAAATTTCATAATGCTTTTGAAAGGCTTTATAAAAGTGTCTGCTAAGTGCTTTTGTATTTTAAATAAAAAATGATGAGAATATAGAGATGGATAGTGCACATGAAACCATCTCAAAAGTTACACAATTAAAGACCTCAATTGACACCTATAAAAAACACCAAAGCCAATTGGGATTCTGGGGCCAGGACTTGATTAGGGCTTAGGGGGCAGGACCTAGTTAGTTCAGTTATTACAAACTAACAAATTCATTTCAAATTTATATATAAGATATATAAAGCCACTGCAGCTTGTGTTTAGCGTCTGTATTGCCTCGACCCCATTTCATAGGCACTTTTATGTTGTTTCCAGCTCCAATCTGCTCATACGCAGCCTGAGCCTGCATGGTCTATGGACCATGTTCTCGCCTTTCCTCTTCTCTTTTTATTGTGTTCCCTTTCGTTGGTTCAACTGGGGTGCATCATGTGCTGTGTCTGGTGGCTACTCTCCACTGTTACCTTTGTGCCATCGATTATACTTCAGTGGAAGCTTTCTGGGTTGATCCTGTTTTCTTGGTTCCCCCATTTCAAGGTTCGTATTTCTCAGGTCATCTGCAGTGTGCCAGCTATCATATTTTGCCAGCCTGTGGTCTACGCTCATGACCATTATGTTCAGAAGTATGTTGCTCTCATAGCATTGTTTGCCAGTATGTCTGGGGCCAAAATCTGGGTTCGGATTTTGGCTGTCTGGTATTTGGTAAATGTACCCAGGCCTCGGCGCCCCTCATGTGGCCTTCTGTCGTGTCTCTCTTTCGGGAGTCTCTTCTTTGTCCTGACTCCTGCAATTCTTCCTCCTTCCTGGTAAGTTGCCATGTGTTCTTCTAACAATCTCCATGGGATAGTTAGCTTCAGGGAGCCACAGAAAACTAGCATTAAATGTAATGAAATGCCAATTTCTGGGCGAGCCCTGGTGGCTCCCTGACAACTTCCCCTCTTCCTTCCAGGTTATCGGATAGGTTTGTGCATCTGCTCCAGAACTGATTGCTCAGATCCCGGGAAGTGGTAAGCCCCATCCCCTAAACACATGGGAGACGGGGGCACAAACAAGCTCATGCTAGTTTCCAGAGATTCAATAGGTTGTTTTATGGTTGGGGGAGTTAATTGGGCAGTTTTTTTTTTTTTTTTTTAACCCAGTAGTGGTTTGTTTTGACTTGTTGACTTTCTGGATGCCTTTCCCAGTGAGGTGGCAAAATGTCATTGTTCCTTGCACCTCTGTGAGGGAAGCCAGGTTCTGGCTCTGGTCCTCAATAAGCCTAAGAGCGCTGTCTGATGCAACCTGGTAGATGGAAACCATGTGAGTGTATAGCTTCAGGAAGCCACTAAGGCTCACTCAGAAATTGGCATTTCATTACACTCGATGCTGGTTTTTCATGAATTAAATTTTAAATTTGCCAAATTTGTATTGTTTGGCTGAAATACTGATTTGTATTTGAGGGCTTTGAGTGTACAGTACATAAATAAGCCTTCTGGACATCATTTTGGGCTCGATCTTGTCTTTTCCTATTTCTCTTACCCAAGTATGATTGCACTGATGGTGTAATATCCTGTCCATGACAACTGCAATACCTTTCTTAAGGAAAGCAACGAGTAGTACAGCTTAAGATAAGCACTATGGGCAATAATTTATGAACAGATGTGGTTCTTAATAATATACAGTATAATTAAGTATGGTACCATATTGGAAAAGGTTAAACACACTGTTGGAACAGTGTAAACAAATGTTGATACATGAGGGAAAAGGTGCAGGGGTTTGAAGTTGTAAGTGTAGCTATTTTAAGTGTTTGTGAATACAGTACAAGTATATATATTTAAAGTGATGCTAAATTAGGCTTCAAGATGACTAAAATGCTATGGTGTCATTGCTCACTGTTTTTATAGTCGTCACTTGAGATTTGTGCTACAGTATCTAATTACCGTAAAGTCTGTCTTCTATTTCCAGCTACACCACCAAAACCAGCCAGCAAGACCTCGATAGTTGGCAGAAGGCCGTGGCGGTGATGGTTGCGAGCAGGAGGCCCTATGGGATGGCACCTTGGCCAGTGGCAGCTAAGAGTCAAGACACTGTATAATGTATCACGTGGAAAAGCTTCACGCATCATAAGCCAGCACGTGACAAATCTCTATCTAAACAAGCTGTACATGCGACATGGTAAACAGTGTATGGGAAAAACTTGCTAATATTAATGCTATGCCCAGGCCTCTTTGTGCTGTATCTCCTGGTTAACAAGCTTCATAGTCAATGGGCTCGAGTGTTGAGCGTCCCTCCCAGAACAAGTGCGGGAAGATCCATTGTGCTCTGTGTGCAATTCATATTGTGGTAAAGTGTTCATTCTTGTATACAATTAATTTATGATTGGCCTTATTTGAAATTAATTTATGCTATGGTTTCTTGCTCTATTTATACCTACATACTTACACACATACCTTGTGTGTATGCATGTGAGAGAACTACAAATGGAGAGAGAGGAAGAGACAGTGACTTAGAAAAACTAAATCTTTCATGCCCAGTAACTGTGAATTTCTGTAAGAGAGGTGCAAGGCATGAGCTTGCAGGTGTTGCCTTATAGGTGTTAGTGTCACACTAGCTGGTAGCCGGGAGCTTGAGCATAGTCAAGCCACGAGGCACTCTGCTACCTTATTTATACCCTCCCTCCATTACTTCATCTCTGCATTCCTTTCTCCGGTTTCCTCCTTTATTCCTTCTTCTTTTCTTTCCTTTTTTATAATTTTCATGGAGGTGAATTGTTTAATGTTAATCATGTATGAGTTGGTAGTGTTTGTAAAGTAAAATGTTATCTTTAAAAATGTTATAGTTTAAAATTCTTGGTAAATTTACAGTTTCAAACTTTGCCAGGACTTTATAGAAAGACCTGAGAATACTTTATAAAGCATCATCTGAAAAAGTGTGTATAGAACTCGCTTATGAGCTAATTAAGCATATCTAGTCAACTTATGGATATTTAGGGTCTTGTACTACAGTACTGGGGAGTGCAGGGAGATGAATGATCTCATTAATGAAATACCGAATATTTTCAGTTTTATATTTTTTACATCATCCTTTGTCAACCCTTTTAGGTTAAGGCATATTCAGTGAAATATCCAAAAATTGCAACCTAGTGAACACGTGTTGGGAAAAACGATGTTGAAGCAGCATCGATAATGTTGGTTCAGCGTCAATCGAGCATGTTTTGCCCACTGGGAAAGCTTTGACTGATTTCTCATTATTATTATTATTATTATATTTTTGTATTTACTAGTATTTCTTTAACTTATAGTTTTGCTGCTGCTTCCTGGTTCTTAGTGTGGGATCACATTAAAGATTACCATGGTCAGGTCTTCACAGTGTAATTCAGAAGTCTAGTGTAATTAGAGAAATGAATGGACTCTGGATAATCATGATAACTCGCTTGTCTTTAATATGAAGAAAATTATATTTTTTATATTTTAGTTATGGATATATTTAACCTTGATGATGTATATCAGTTTATTTTTCATACTTCTTTCAACAAGTATTTGAATGCAAAATCATTTAATATGTGGCTTATTTGTTGATTTTATTTGTCTTGCACTTTTTGATGTATGGTTAAACCAAAAAAAATGTGCCTAAGTAACATAGAATTATTCTGTATATTGTTCTATACTGTCAAAACAACTCTCACTGTAGTACAGTCAATTCATTGAAATGTTTGCAATGTTTACCAAGAGTGACTCAAAGACAACACTTTGTCTTACATTTACGCTATATAATGATAAAACTCTATTGGGCATTGTATGAATAATGCATGATTCCATTTTGGACAGCTTGCAAGTACCATACGAGAAACAGAAAATGGTGGATGGTTGAAAAGTACAGAATATATACCGGTAATAATGTTCATGTAGCTTTCTACGTATCTTCTCTATAATGAATACTTACTGTTAAGAAAGAGTTAATTTGAGAAAAAGCAAACAATTTGATATGTCAGGCTTTGACAACAAAAATATAATAAACTGATCTCAAGTTTAAGGCCTTTTACTTGTGCTCACTTAATGAACCATATTTAAATACAGTTTTGCATTTAATATTGCATGATTGCCTATTTTGTGCTTTCTGTTGAATGAAGAGACCTTCTGTCTGCGGAACATTGAAGTTAATGCGCAGCATCACATATGGCTAATAAAACCTGGACCAGCTACCCTGTTATCACTAGAGATCAATAAGACATTGCAAAGTAACTTGACTATGAAATTATATACTTCATGCAACTGGAAATTTTATATAATTTTCAAATGGCATAATATAGATATCCATAATTAAGTCCAAGGGCATTGGATTTTGTCAGAGGCAGCCATATAATTCTTCATTTACATTGTTATAGGCCAGTGATAACCTTTATTATTCTAAAGCTTTCATATATATATACGAAATGATACATGGTATCAAGTCATCAGTCTAGTGTCAAACTTTGACCTATAGTGCTAGAGCCAGGAAGTGACTATATAAACAGGAAAGACTGTACTGTGAACATTTTCTACATTCATTTTATTATTCATTCTTGCCAAAACTGTATTTAGTACAGCAAATATTCTGATGAGTTTTATATGTTGGTGTTGGAGCTAAGGCACTGGAATATGAAACATTGTCACTGCTGTTTCTTGTGCTGCAAGAGAACATGTTATTGTCATGCACTGTATGTGGGAACATTTGTCTGCTTTTGGCCAGTTCTCGGAATATAGTATGTAACCTGTGTACACAAAGTGTGTGTTTGATAAACGTTGGTAGCCACTTTCTTATATGCATTACTCTGTATCTTGGAAATTGGTCATCATTATATAAGTAATGTATCATCCCGTTCTTTCAATTCACCACTCCATAAAAAATGTAACTTTTTATCTAGTTAGAAAAATATATACCCAAGCAACCCACCAAAAGAGACCAATGTATAGAAATTGTTAATATTATGGTGTTTTAGTTTTATAAATACATCACATTTTTAATGGAATGGTAGATCTAAAAAATGTGACACATTAGGTGAGAGGACGGGTTGTACGTATAAAGGTTGAGAGAATTTTTCTTGGCACCAGGAAGAGAAGCTCATTGTTTAAGTAACCATCTTCCTCACCAGTAGAGTGCAGAGGAAGTCATTTCATTATTTTTCCTGGTGTCAAACACCATACTGTTGCCGCGTAAGTATCAAAAAGAGCATTCCATATATGAATTTCCAGCATACAGTATATGGCAAAGTAACTTATTCTGTATTTCCCCTTGGTCTTTTAAATCACTTTTCATGGATTATTTATTCTAGGTCTAACAGAGACATTTATGACTTAACGAAGTCTTGTTCATTCTATTTATATAGAGATCAGAATGTAGGATTAGCCATCTTCCTTGTATTTGGTTAAGTGTTTTGGCAAGTGCTCTAGAGTGGACAGTGGAACATTAAATATATGACATTCAGTGCTTATTTTTGTTAATCCAGTTTCTTAGCTGTATAATTCACCAGAAGTTGGCCATTAGTTACCCCCAACTGGGACAAGAAGCTGGCAGCTTGACAAATACACCCACCTTGTGTAGAGTGATCCACTAATCAGTCACTATCACGGGAGAGGTAGAACAAATGTCTCAGATGCTATAAGTGATTAATTATCAAAAGAAAGCACTAAGCCAGGAAAACTATATTGCAGGATATTTAAAAGGTGTTAAATATCACTCGGGAAGCTAATACTGTACAAGAACAAAAAGTCATAAGACAAACTACATCAAAGGTATCAGATTCGCTATGGAATCAATCGAGGAACAAGTTACCCAGAGTGACATAAGGAAAGCAAGACGAACTGAAAATCAGAATATTCCACAAGGAGGTGCATGACTAAGATAATGCAGATTGGACAAATATTCAGCGTTGGTGAATGTAATGAAATGCTTTGTTCTGGATGAGCCCCAGTGACTCCCTGAAGTTATCTTACTGAGATGGTTCCCAGCTACTAGGTCACATCATCCATGGAGCTCTGTTTGACCTACCGGGGATTCAGCCAGGACCTGGCCCCCTTACAGAAGTGCAGAGCAGCAGACACTTCCACCCCCACTGGAAAAGCCTCCAGAAATTCTGCCATTAAAGCATGAAATTTTTCCTAATTTACTCTTTAAGTTCTAGTAGCTTTACTAAACTGCACCTTTGTATTTTCTTTGCTATTACAGTAATGTTAAATAACTACTGTAGTGTTGCACTGGGGTAATGCTGTATGTAAAAAGAGGACTTGAATGCAGCCAATAATGAGAATGAGTGAGTCCCCGTGGTGTAGTGGTAAGGTACTAGCCTGGCGTTTCGCGAGCGCTTTGTCCTGGGTTCGTATCCTGGCCGAGGAGGATTTACTGGGTGTCAATCCTTAACTGTAGCCTCTGATTACCCAACAGTAAAATGGGTACCTGGTTGTTAAAATGATTTCGTGGGGTCGTATTTCTGGGAACATAGGATGTGAAATGCTATGCATGCTAGAGGCTGTACAAGAATGTAAGAACTCATGTATATACAGTATATAAATAAAAAAAATAATTAAACACCGTGGGATCTGTATGGCTCAACATATTAGCTCAAAATATATAATTGGATCTCATTGAATCAGCTGATATCATTGAAACTTAAAATACTGAAGAATTTGGAGAATGTTGATCCAGACAATTTCTTCAAAACGTCAGATGTAACACAAACAAGGAACAATGGTGTCAAGCTCAACAAGCCACAATGTAGGTCTGAGAATAGGAGATGCTTTTTCACCCACAGGGTTATAAACTCATGGAACCGTCTACCCGTCCAAGCCGTAAATGCCAAAACATTGATGAATTTTAAAATCCAACCCTGAAAAAAATCATCGGGTCAAATGGAGGAATATTTTTGACAAACTGCCGGCTTCCTGTCCTTGTTGAAGCCACTAGAGAGTTAGTGGCTCTCAGATAAATACGCAGTGTTTCGGCCATAATATGGAAAAAATGGTGAACAATAAAAGTTCAATGGAGTAACTTGAAACTAAATGAGATCAGAAACATTAATGAACTGATGTAGAGAAATATAAATCAAATGGTAACCTTAGGTATCCTCTTGAGGTTACCTTGAGATGATTTTGGGGCTTAGCGTCCCCGCGGCCCGGTCCCCGACCAGGCCTCCTTTTTGTTACACATCCCCCAGGAAGAAGCCCGTAATGGCTGTGTAACTCCCAGGGTACCTATTTACTGCTAGGTGAACAGGATCATCAGGGTGAAAGAAACTCTGTCCATTTGTTTCTGCCTCCACCGGGATCGAACTCGGAACCTCAGGACTGCGAATCCGTAGCGCTGTCCACTCAGCTGGCAGGCCGTAGGAAGATGGCAGCCACGGATGCAGGATGGCATCTCTGGGTAGATATTTATTGTTACGGTACTGACAAACTTGGGTATACACAGCAATGTGCTGCTCCCCTATTCTATATAAAAGATTAGAAAGTGTAGATAAAAAACATGTTTCCTGGGTAGATGGCAGCGGTGGAGGGTAGATAGATGTCAGCGGTGGAGGGTAGATAGATGGCAGCAGTGGAGGGTAGATAGATGGCAGCGGTGGAGGGTAGATAGATGGCAGCAGTGGAGGGTAGATAGATGGCAGGAGTGGAGGTAGATAGATGGCAGGAGTGGAGGTAGATAGATGGCAGTTGTGGAAGGTAGATAGATGGCAGCAGTGGAAGGTAGATAGATGGCAGCGGTGGAGGGTAGATAGATGGCAGCAGTGGAGGGTAGATAGATGGCAGTTCTGGAAGGTAGATAGATGGCAGCAGTGGAAGGTAGATAGATGGCAGCAGTGGAGGGTAGATAGATGGCAGCGGTGGAGGGTAGATAGACGACAGCGGTGGAGGGTAGATAGATGGCAGCTGTGGAAGGTAGATAGACGGCAGCGGTGGAGGGTAGATAGATGGCAGCAGTTGGATAAATAGACGGCAGCGGTGGAGGGTAGATAGATAGGAGGAGGGGTGGGTGGAGGAGCGGGGAGACAGGAGAGCGGTCAGTAGCGGGACACACCCGGGGGAAGGTGGAGGTCCGTGCCGTCACTCAGCCTGCCGCAGGTCAGTGCCAGTCTGGGTGCCTCTCTGCTGCTACACTTGAGTGCCAGGGGGGGGGGGGCACCTACACCTCCCCCTGACCCTTAAGGGCCAGGTAGAGTGTGCCACAGCGACCAGGAAGGCAGTTATCTCCCACTAACAAGTGGAAGCCTTGGAAGAAATGACTTGCGTTCTGGTCGCCACTTTTCCATATTGTACTAACTTGCTGCTGCAGTTATATGGCTCCAAGCTTGGCCACTAGTTACGGGGGTAACTAGTATGGCTCCAAGCTTGGTCACTAGTTACAGGGGTAACTAGCATGGCTCCAAGCTTGGTCACTAGTTACGGGGGTAACTAGTATGGCTCCAAGCTTGGTCACTAGTTACGGGGGTAACTAGCCTGGCTCCAAGCTTGGCCACTAGTTACGGGGGTAACTAGCATGGCTCCAAGCTTGGCCACTAGTTACGGGGGTAACTAGCATGGCTCCAAGCTTGGCCACTAGTTACGGGGGTAACTAGCATGGCTCCAAGCTTGGCCACTAGTTACGGGGGTAACTAGTATGGCTCCAAGCTTGGCCACTAGTTACGGGGGTAACTAGTATGGCTCCAAGCTTGGCCACTAGTTACGGGGGTACTCCAAGCTTGGCCACTAGTTACGGGGGTAACTAACATGGCTCCAAGCTTGGCCACTAGTTACGGGGGTAACTAGCCTGGCTCCAAGCTTGGTCACTAGTTACGGGGGTAACTAGCCTGGCTCCAAGCTTGGTCACTAGTTACGGGGGTAACTAGCCTGGCTCCAAGCTTGGCCACTAGTTACGGGGGTAACTAGCCTGGCTCCAAGCTTGGTCACTAGTTACGGGGGTAACTAGCCTGGCTCCAAGCTTGGTCACTAGTTACGGGGGTAACCAGGATATGAACCCAGGGCATAGCACTCGTGAAACGCCAGGCAAGTGTCTTAGCACTTCACCCTGGGGACTGGTATATACTATACTGTATAATAGAGAGCTGCAAGGGCAGAACATCTGGTGCAACAATGACATTCATATTCCACTTTTTTACCCCCCTTTATAAACAGGTTTTTTCCATCTATTTTGTAAATGTCAACTCACCAGACGTAATGCTTGCATTGCTTATTCTTTTTAAAACAGGAAAATAAATGCTGGCCCTAAATTAAGCTCATTGTAAGACTTTATTAACAAAAAATTTTGCCTTGACAGATATGGCGTGTGTGTGTATGGGAAGGTGTCTGTGGACAGTATGGAACTACGTGATGCTGTACGCCTTGGGGTTGTGGTACCTGGTGAAGGAGATCTGTCTGCCCCATAGGAAGCCCACAGGTTGATTACATCTCTCCACTCTGTTCTGCTTCTTGATATCCATGAGTGCTGTACTAGATTCCCGCCAGACTCCAACCCATATCTTCACTCTGTTCTGCTTCTTGATATCCATGAGTGCTGTACTAGATTCCCACAAGGCTCCAACCCATATCTTCACTCTGTTCTGCTTCTTGATATCCATGAGTGCTGTACTAGATTCCCGCCAGACTCCAACCCATATCTTCACTCTGTTCTGCTTCTTGATATCCATGAGTGCTGTACTAGATTCCCACAAGACTCCAACCCATATCTTCACTCTGTTCTGCTTCTTGATATCCATGAGTGCTGTACTAGATTCCCACAAGACTCCAACCCATGTCGTCTTGAATTCAAATTTGTCATCAGTGTGCTTCCATTAGTCACAGAACTTTTAAGTTGAGTCTTCTGCAAATGCAAGTTAAACGAGCTGTGTTTTCTCTGCATAAAGCATACACAGAGCTAACCTAACTTATGGTGGTCAGAACATTGTTGAAATTGGTGAAGGGATTCTTGGATATTGGCTTCGTGCCTTGATTGTAAATGGGCTCTTTCACCATATAGGGTCTAAATTGGACTTTAATGCTTTAACAGGAATTTGATAAGTTGAAAATTTGGTTTGATTTGTAAGTAACAAATTGGTTTAATACTTCAGCTTCCCTCATAGTTTTCTCAGGATATTTCTTAATGTCTGTGAACTTTATTACTCTACATTTTTACTTTATTACCTAACTTTTTTGCCTCTCCACCCCATGCAAGTGGGAAGTGGGTAAATGATTAACGTGTGTGTACAGTAATCTATGAATCTTGTATAATGTGTATTTGATTATATTTACTCCTACAAAATGTACAATACCTTTGCAAGAAATGCATTGTTATACTGTAGTAATGTTATGTTATAATGGAATATATTAATAAAAAAAAACTTTGGTGACAGGTATAGAGAAACAGAGTGGGCGAGTGGCTCTTGTGACGGGTGGCGGTCGAGGCATCGGCTTGGAAACAATCCAGCAGCTCCTTGACCTGGATATGACAGTTATTATTGGCAAGTTCCATAATTGTTTATTTCCTTTTTTGTATATTATATACTCTTGCATTTTTTATTAATAGTAACATTTTAGTTTGCTACTACTGTACTGTATTACATTTTTTGGGGTGGAGGGGGTAACCCCAAGTGGCTCGCTAAAGCTATGTTGGTGAGATTGTTCCATGCAGTTGGGTCACATTAAATGTGGGAGTTCTGTTTGGCCCACCTGGGACCAGAGTCAAAACCTGGGCCCCCTTCACAGAGGCACAGAGTGAGTGACAATTTGCCACCTCACCAGAAAAGCATCCAGAAGGTCAGCCAAACTTTACAAATAACTGGAGGGTTAACAAAGACAGGAGCCTCAAAACTGGTAAGCAGCTCCACAGAAGAGAAAATTCACACAGAACAAGATAAACGTCTAAATTTAGAGCGAAACTTACTGTACATTACAGAATGCCACTACCAAGCAGCCCGGCTCCCACATGCAACCATCTTGTCTTATCAGTTCTTATGCTGATGTCTGGATTTATATATTATAAATCTTTGGTTTTAAATATAAAAAGTATGCTTAACTCATTTTCTTTGAAACTGTATGAAGAATTTGGCAGTATGTAAATGAAATTCTAGGGATACTCAGTTTTCAAATTTAACATTTCACATGTTTGAGAATAATACACCGTATTAACATAACCAAATATAATGAAGCCTAACCTAATCTTGCCTAACCTTAACCCTAACTTAACCTAACTATGGATAGTGAATAGGTAATAGCACTATTACATAATAATTTTGAAGTGACTACCTCCAGGGTACCTCCTTCCTGAGGACAGGTTGTGTTGTGACCACCACACTGGTCAATGATACAGGTCTGTAATTGAGAGGGTCTTCTCTGCTACCATTTTCTGTAAATTGGAATTATGTTGATACATGAATGTTTCCAGGATGAGGTTTACAAATCTACCAGTCCAATTGCCTTCCATTCCTGCTTTGTAGGCCTTCGTCTATTGATTTCAAATTGAAGTCATCAAGCACCAGTACTATGATTTACCTTGATCTGTTTTTACTGTAATGTCTCATGATTTTTATAAGGCCCTCACATTTGTCATCCAGCTTCTCCTATGTCTGTTTTCCTTGCTAGTGGACTGTAGGTGTTTATGATTCAGTTTATCATCCTGATTACAAATCTCCAGTGTCAACTTCTTGTGGGTTATCGGACACCGTCTGCCTTCAGGTGTTCTTTTACCAGCACGGAAATGCCTCCACCTTTTCAAATTTTTCTGTCATGTATACAAATTGAGTAGCCCCTCGATATATGACCTCGTTTAAAACATTATCTTCAAGTGAACAAATCCACAAGGGCCGTGACGAGGATTTGAACCTATGTCTGAGAGGATCCCAGACTTGTCTTAATCGACTGAGCTACAACATGGTTAAAAAATTGCAATTGCCCTTGTGGATTCATGTATCGACTTTGATGCATCACGCTATTGTGATTTCTGTGTGGAATTATCTTCAAGTTTTGTCTTTTAGTGCTACAATATCTGGCATCTTGATCAAAGTTATATCGTTTAGCTACAATATATTTTTTTGTTTATCTCACTCCTGCTCCATAAACGATTTTCAGGAACACATTTCCTCCACCTTAGTCCTCTACTTCCCCTTCTTCAATGTTTTTGTTGGTTTGTTTTTATGTACCAACAAAATCATTAGAGGAAGGGGGTAAAAAACTAAGGGAGAGGGAACATGTTTTTGAAAATCGTATATACAGACGTACTAACATAACTGACAATGACCACATGCTCTATTATTGTATCTTCTGTAATTACTGTACAGTACTATAATTTTTATGTAAACTTTCCCAATTATAAAAGTACATCCATTTATGAATAAAGCTTTTTATTTGATTTGTTACTGTTTTTCTGTTTTTTGTATTTGAGTGAGCATAATATGATGATGGTACTCTGAACACTAATAAATGACCTTTCTCCTACAGCTGGAAGAAATGTGGCAGTGTTGGAGAAGGCAGCATCTGAGCTGCGGGCCCTGGGTGTGCAAGGAGGATCTGTCAAATGTCTGGAATTAGATTTGTCAAGTTTATCATCTGTTCGCAACTGTGCTCAAGAGTTTTCTGCTCTTAACTTGCCACTCCACCTTCTGATTAATAATGGCAAGTAGTGAAAAACTTATTGTCTTGTAAAACAAAGTGGATAATATTCTTTTTTTTTTTTTTTTTTTTTTACTTTTGCTATAGATCTTATTTCAAACTTTATTTTCTTATCTATGCTGAACATGTTCCTTCTGTGAAGTCCATATCTCTGAGGTGGTGGGTACATGCAAAATCTTTATATGACATTTTTAATATTTTGTACAGTTGAGTATCAGTGCCTGTATCTACCTGTTAATCTTAAAATACTTCCTCAGTAGTAAGTGGGACTATTCCTTGTATGCTTTTTACCAGGTCAGTGAGGACTCTTGAACCTTGAACTTAGTACAGTAGCACCCCTAACTTTCATGACAATTACTGCTTTTATATAGCACATGGAAGGGATGTGAAGTATCTAGGATGGGACGGGTGGAAGTAATGGTGCCCAACCACTCGGACCATCGGGGATCGGACGCCGACGTGCAAGAAGTAAGGACATCACTGCCCCGACCAGTCTGAGTGGCTGGGCAAATGACTGCTTAGCTTTCAGTTACAAAAACTTAATGACTGCAATCATGATTGTTTTTCACATAGTTGCTTTCCTATTTTCCAGCGGGCATAATGTTCTGGCCATGGGAGTTGACTGAGGATGGGCACGAGTCACACTGGTGTGTGAATTATCTCGGCCACTTCCTCCTCACCCATCTCTTGTTTCGACATCTAGTAGCTAGCTCCACACCAGAGCGACCTACGCGAGTGGTGAATCTAACATCATCGGTACATTACATGGGGTCCATCAAATTTGATGATATAAATAACAAGTGAGCTTACTGTTAAATGTCTCAACTTAAGTGGGATTATTTATTTCTCTTCCATTGGCCTCTTTTATTTTGTATGTCTTTCTATCTGGTCAAGGTAATTTTGTGCCTAGTGGATTGTACTGTATAACTATTATTGCAGAGGATGAATATAACTGCTTAACTCTTCCTCTGTGTGGCACGGCTCTGGTTGATCTCTGTAATTATGTGTAAACTGCAATATGGCTAGGGAATTTTTTAAAGTACTGCGCAAGTTAAAGTTGTACTTATATATGGGGCTCATGTTTGCTTCCTCAGGTCTCCAGTAAACAGATGCCATCTTGGAAAAAAATTGTGGGTGTGATGACTTTGATATTGAGAGTGCGACCATCAGTAGCACATGCAGGAACAGCTCATGGCATTTCCATGCAGCTTGTGTCCACACCATCACTTAATAATGATGGTCTCGCTTCTTGCAGGTTTGCATTAAGTCTTTAACCATTCAAGTGGTTGAGCATCATTCCATTCCTCCAGCCTATCACAGTCTTTTCCTTGTATATCTTCCAAGTGCTGTATAGTCGTAATGGCTTTGTGCATTCTCCTGGCAATTACCTTAATAATGACAAAATAAATAACTGCAATTATTGTGATAGTAATGGAAGATACTGTGATGAAGACGCCGTACAAGGTTGAGATGTCGGTGAACATATTGATGATTAAGATGATTACAGCACGAGGCAGATGACCACAGCAAACAAATGTGGTTTGGTGTATCGTGAAACAGGACCTAATGTTCCTTTAGAAACTAAACTTGTGGAAAAATTTTCATATTCATGATATAGTGACTATGATTCTGTTGATAATAGCAGTGTTGTGGCTAGAGTTAGTAAAGTGCAAAGTACAGTATATTGGGGCATTTTGCAGAGTTGGGAGGCATCGGCAACTGGCTAGCATGTGGTGTTATGCTGTGCTTGCAATACAACATTTCCACACCCACCATAACTGCTCATTGGTTTGTTATGGTGCATAAAAATGTAGCTGGTTATATATAACGTTTACATGTGGTGTAAAAACTGTCGGCATAAAAACTGTTATTGTTCAAAGAATATAATACTGTACTGAACTTGGTGACAGGAATACAGTATATATATCCAAACCTATATTCTACAAGTTTTCTGTTATGACTTCAGCAGATGACTTCATGTAACTGAGCAAAATACCCAGAAATATACTATGCACATATCTCTTTATTACTATGAACAATGCTATTATTATCAGATTTCTGTCAGTAAATCATGAATAGGAAAAATTTTCCACATTATTTTCTAAGGAACATGTCACTTTGATGTGTAGATTCACAAAACTTGTCTGTGTGTTGTGAATGTCTGCCTCCTGTATGAACATCATAATTAGCATTGTGGTTACTAATATCTGAACCTTATACATAATTTTTATTAGTCAGGATCATCTATGACACTATCATTGCAAAATAATTAGCTATTTATTATATTCATCATTATTAAGTGGTGCTGTGGCCCTGCACAGCTGTGCTGTGAGCTCCTGCTGCATGCATCAGCCTTGGTCGCTGAGGCAGTACTGAGGCTCTTACAGCCAGGAGGGATGCAGACAATTTTGTTCAAGATGGCATATGTTTACTGGAGTCTTCAGAAACGATGTGAGCCCCGTGTACCCACGAGTGTTTTGATCCTTATGATATACTGTACTGACAAACGTGATATGTTGATGTGTACACCCTCTGTTCCCATATGTGTACACAGTACAGTGGTTAAATTCAATTTTTAATGTATGTATATCCAACTTCTTAGTGTTGTGCATGTGCAGCTACTGTCAGATGAATGTAAATCTGCACTACTGTATTTAACTAAGCATATATTAAGTGAACTTTCTTGCTTGATAGATATCTTGTCACAGTTGGCAAACGGGCAGAGTGGCTTTAAAGATTTTATTGATATACAGTATGTACTTTTATTTCAACAGTTTTTGTGATATGGCTACTGAATTGTTTATATACGGAAAACTTTCCACAGGAAATTATATAGTCCTCAAGCTGCATATGCACAGAGTAAATTGGCGCAGTTGATGTTTACACTGACATTGGACGAGCATCAGAGGTCATGTGGAAGCAACGTTGTGGTCAATGGTGTTCATCCCGGTGTGGTGGCCACCGAACTCTTCCAGAATGTTGCATGGGCAACGAGCTTTCCCCTGCTTGCAAGAACTTTTCTCAAGGTAAAGGTTTGGGTATTATGTTTATTTGTATTATGTTTGCTGGAAAGGATATTCAGATTTCAGAGGGAAGGAGGGCTTACCTGTGTCTGTGAGGAATGAGATACAGCTCCGGGGACCCCCCACCTGTCAACTATTGGGTATCTGGTAATATTGTGTATAATGCTCTTATCATATTTGATGTTATGGAAAACACTTCTGTTATTGCTGCATGATTCATTTAGTTGCTTACAACTATTGCATGTTCCCCTGTGTAGTTCACTGGTGCAGGGATTCTTGAAGCTCTCCCGAGGACCGTAACTCACACCCGAAATCCTCATTGGGTGGTAGAGTAAAGTTAGGGGCTCCAAGATAACTTCAATCCGGAATTACTTCTCGGGGCATCATCAACAGTTCAGATGAGGTACAGAGCTCACTTGCCTGATGCTCACTGTACTACAGTATCCTCAAAGCTCTGCTCACACTGCATTATTGTGTTGTCAAATAAGTGGGGAGACTAGGATACCTTATAAACTCTAGCAAACTTATTTAGGCTCTATGCTGATATCTTTGTTGTCGTTGTCGGTTGAATGCTGTGGTCAGCATTCAATCTCCAATGATTCAAGTAGTTTAGCAGCATTCCTTCAATCTGTTCTCATATCCCTTACCACATGCTATACTGTATAGTCATACTGACTTAGTGCTTTCTCATAATTTCCTTCCTTCACTTCAAAATACTGTATAATAATGTTGTATACTTTTGAAACATCAAATAGAAATCTACCATAAGTCCAAGTTTTGTGTTGCAGACTCCTCGGCAAGGCTCTGACACAGTGGTTCATGTAGCATTATCAACACAAGTCAAGGAAGGAGGCCACTATTACGAGAACTGCACCAAGACCAAACCTGCCAGAGCTGCCCTGAGAAGTGAGGACCGTGCCCGTCTCTGGGCGCTCTCCTGTCAGCAGCTCCAAATTGAACATTTTGGACAGACGTAAAGATATTAATTTACAGTATATGATCAGTAGGGAAAATATGCATGTTCAATCATTGTGTGATAACAAATTATCATGGAAATACTGAACTGATAATGACATTAAGTAATAGTAATGGATTTGATATGAAGTAAGGGTATTAGAACTTGCCTGTATAATGTGTAAACTCCTTGTAGGGTCTCTTTCCAATAACCATCATTGAATTACTGAAATTTTGAGGGGCAAGTGAGGGTTGTTTAGCAGTAATCTTCGTCCTAGACTACAGTACTTCAATCCTTAAGGAAGTTTTGTAGAAAATCATTAAAGGTGGTGGTTAATTCCTCAAAAAAAAAAAAAAGCTCCTCGTAAAAAATACTTCTCGCCTAGCTGTTTCTCACGATTTAAAGCTTTTAAAGAAATTTCACAAATCTATAGGTATACAGGGTATTTTTGTATTTTCATAAACCAGCACATGTGTGAATACAGGATAGTTGTCAGCTATTCTTCATTTTACAGTATGTACAGGGAGACAGCAGAATAATTTGAACAAAGTAATTGAAGACTGACCCACACACCTGAAGATGAAGAGATGACAACGTTTCAGTGCGTCCTGGACCATTATAAAGTCAATTGTACAATCAACTTAATGGTCCAGGACGGACTGAAACGTCATCTCTCCATCTTGTGGTGTGTGTGTGGTTTGGTCATCATATCTTTAGCCACATTATTGTGACTCATCGTCTGTATAAGTAATTGAGTGCGGTATGCATCAAGTAATTTCTAGCCTTACCAAAGCCATCATAAGAGTTAATTACGCAGCAGGAGAGTACTGTTTTTGTAAAGGCAGAAACAAGTGACACTTAATGGGCTAGGCAGAGGCTTAGGGCTCAAATAGGAATATTCCAGTCAAAATATAAGTGATTTATATAAGAATTAGCACCATTTGGAACTGATTCCTATCACATTTTACACAATACAGTGAACAAGGAACCATAATAGTTGGATAGAACCTTTTTGTAAGTTAAATAAATTGTCCGTCATGACTATACATAAGAATCATAAATACTCCGAGTTATGAACAAAATGTACTTCAGCTGTTGAACGATGCCAAACTAATGACGTTCAGTCAATATTCATATGACATATTCAATATGTACAAGAATGAAAGAAATCTTGTATGTATAAATAAAAATAATAAAATACAACAAATCTATGTGCATCTACTGTAATTTTTTTTTAAATGAGTTTATACCTTATGTAAACTTTACATTTTTATGTGCCTTCAAGATATTAACTCTTCCAACATTTGAATCTGAAAGGACATAATTTCTTTAATACAGTATTACTGTTGGTCGAGTTTAGCTTAGACAACGTCATGCAAGTATCTTCCACAACTTAGTTATGCTAAAAAATGTCTTGAAACAATCTGATCTCTGTTTGCAGCATTCTGCAAAAGATATGATTCTCTTCGATATAACAATATTTACTAATGAACTCATGTAGCAATACTGTACTGCCTCACATATTTTCTTGCCATAAATATTACACATTCCAGAGCAAATTGTATTTTTTCTAATAAATATTGTAATCAGAATTTATAGGCCAGTGGTCATTTATTGCCTTTTATTTTTATATTAAGACTGAATTGAGTACATTATGAACAGGTGCCAAGCCTAGGAGACTATTTAGCACCAGCTGTGGCACAATGGTAAAACATTCCCAAGTATTGTTATGCCCGGGTGCAAAAATATACAAGATTAGAAATGTTCAGGGGTATCAGGTTAGCCAAGGGTTTTATTGAGGGATATTTGGAAAGAGATTTCTAACCATGGAAAATCTGGACATTCTGAGGTGCGACAAACACACATCTGTCCCATCATGTGCCCAAGGCCAATTTGCATCCTAGCCAAAATTGGTTCCCACAGGGCTAGGTCACATTGATGGCAGGCATTATGAATAGAAAACTGCGCACACATTCAAAAGGTGCGTGTCAAGCTATGGTTGACAGGGTAGGCACCAATTGCTTTGCAGCTGTAGAATTGTGAGGTTATTAAAAACAACATAAACATGGCTGGGGACCCAGCAAGAGACCAGCAGCACTGGATTATAGTAACTAAAAGATAGGCAGAGCTAAAATTCCATGTCCATGAGGGCACTACAAGGATTCTTGACCACAAAATTACTGTAAAAACAGCATGGAACATAACTACCATAGACCATAAAAAATTGCCTTAACCCTTAAAGTGCAGCTATGTATATTCATGCATTCAAATTCAAAATTTAAATGTTAATTCAGGTAAAGTACATACATACAAGGTGTGATACAAACATTGATGGATTTATAGATAGAGCTAGTACATACAATGCCTGCCTAAAGCCACTATTACGCACAGCATTTCGGGCAGGAAAAAAAGACAAGACTAAAACTTAATACTAATTGAGATTAAAGTATAAATTGTGTTCAGATAATATAAAATTAATAAAGGGGGGTAACATGGCAGAAAAATAGCAAATATACAATTTGGTCGACAAACAGCAATGTTTAAAATAGCAGACATGGGTTGACATTTAGGGGAAGGTAGGTTACATGGAGTTAATTAGGTAGTGCTTAGTTTTTATCTTAAACTGGTTGAGAGAGGTACAGTCTTTAACATGACTGGGAAGGTCATTCCACATTCTGGGTCCCTTGATTTGTAGAGCATTTCTAGTTTGACTAAGTCGTACTCTTGGAAATATCAAATAGGTATTTGTTTCTGGTGTGGTGCTCATGGGTTCTGTTATAACCTAGGAAGCTTTTAAGGTCAGGATTGACATTACAGTTCAGCATTTTATATATACAATATATATATAAAAGGAAGGTGCAGGCAGGCATTAAAAAAGCTTACAGAATTAATAATTTGGGTGTAAAATGCAAGGAAAAGTTTATATAATTTAATTATCTATGTAGTTACTGGTTAGGTGAGCTGGAGGCAGGTGGGGTGCCCTACCAGGTTTGTCAGCCCCGGACCTCATCTTGCTGACACAGCTCCATATACCAGAGGACTCCAGTGATGAGGTGTCCAGGTTTGTTGCTTCACTCGGTACTTTCACTGGTGCTACATAGCCTCCCTGGCTTGGTGCCTTCTTTGATAATTACTTACTTGCTTAGTATATTTACTGGTGTGTGTGTGTTGAATAACTAGATTTATGTACATATAATTTATGAAAACATGGATCGAGTACAGTAATAGCTGGAAGGACACTGTATTTAGGCATACAAAGCATGAATGCATTTATGTATTGATAAGAACTAAGGCCTGCAGAAATGCAATTATCCCATATGAGGCAGTCCCTATTTATACCCTTGCATGGGCAAATGCAAGGATATAAACTGTACATTACAGTATATGAATGAGTGGGTGGATAAAAATAGCTGCTGCCTCATTAAGGCCAAAAGATCTTATGCAGTCCCTTTAGCTCTAATTGATACGTACATATCAATGAATGAATGAATGTACTGTATTCACCTAGTTGTGCTTGCGGGGGTTGAGCTCTGCTGTTTCAGCCCGCCTCTCAACTGTCAATCAACTGTTTCGAACTACTACTACTATTTTTTTTCACATCACATCACATCACAGCACATCACAACACATCACAACACAACACATCACAACACAAAACACATCACAACACATCACAACACAAAACACATCACAACACATCACAACACAAAACACATCACATAACAACACAACACATCACATCACATCACAACACAACACAACACCACGTCACAACACAACGCATCACATCACAACACATCACAACACATCACATCACATCACAACACAACACAACACATCACAACACATCAAATCACATCACATCACAACACAACACATCAAATCACAACACAACACATCAAATCACATCACATCACATCACAACACACCAGGAAGTAGCCCGTAACAGTTGACTAACACCCAGGTACCTATTTACTGCTAGGTAACAGGGGCATAGGGTGAAAGAAACTCTGCCCAATGTTTCTCACCGGCGCCCAGGATCGAACCCGGGACCGCAGGATCACAAGCGTGCTGTCCGCTCGGCCGGGTGGGGGCTGACCCAACAATGTGTGTACAATGTGTGGATTATATGAACTCAGGGACCGTAGAAGACCTATTGGCCTATATGAGGCAGCTCCTATTTATAGCCACCCAAACTCATTCATATACTGTATATGAATGAGTTTGGTGAATATAAATAGCTGCCTCATACAGGATTGATTGATGAAGATTAAGCCACCCAAGAGGTGGCACGGGCATGAATAGCCCGTAACTCATACAGGCAAAGATGTTTGTTTAGCAATATGGGCTGCGCGTTGTTGGAACGCGTCCAGCGGGGCTGCACCTTCTCGTACTTTGTTTACTCTCCAAAACGGCGCCAAATATTCACATTTTGCGGCTCTTGTCAACTATTTAAATATTTATAAGACAAAATATACTGTGCTTGTGTATTTACCAAAGAGTATTTGGTAATACATAAAGTTGTATATTTGTTTACAAATATAAAAGATAAATTGAATGTTAAAGATGGTAATGTAGCTTGACTAAATATAATGTAAGTAGGATATAATTTGGTGGTGTGTCGAGCTTTAGCTCTTGTCCTCCTCCTCCTCCTCTCCCTTCACCCGTCTAGTTATGGACACACACAACACACAAGTGATGGACCGTGGCGGCAAGAGGAAGGCCCACCACTCCTACACCATCAATAGTAACGGAAAAAGACCAAAATACACCCATGAAAATACTGGATATGAAGTCAGCCCAGATGGAAGATAAAAAAAGAATAAAAAATCACGACCACGCCACCACGCCTAGGGCAAGCACGCCACAGAGCCAGGCCACGGGGGCCCCCAGGGACCACGCCTAGGGCAAGCACGCCACAGAGCCAGGCCACGGGGGCCCCCAGGGACCACGCCTAGGGCAAGCACGCCACAGAGCCAGGCCACGGGGCCCCCAGGGACCACGCCTAGGGCAAGCACGCCACAGAGCCAGGCCACGGGGACCCCCAGGGACCACGCCTAGGGCAAGCACGCCACAGAGCCTGGCCACGGGGGCCCCCAGGGACCACGCCTAGGGCAAGCACGCCACAGAGCCAGGCCACGGGGGCCCCCAGGGACCACGCCTAGGGCAAGCACGCCACAGAGCCAGGCCACGGGGGCCCCCAGGGACCACGCCTAGGGCAAGCACGCCACAGAGCCTGGCCACGGGGGCCCCCAGGGACCACGCCTAGGGCAAGCACGCCACAGAGCCAGGCCACGGGGGCCCCCAGGGACCACGCCTGGGGCAAGCACGCCACAGATCCAGGCCACGGGGGCCCCCAGGGACCACGCCTAGGGCAAGCACGCCACAGAGCCAGGCCATGGGGGCCCCCAGGGACCACGCCTAGGGCAAGCACGCCACAGAGCCAGGCCACGGGGCCCCCAGGGACCACGCCTAGGGCAAGCACGCCACAGAGCCAGGCCACGGGGGCCCCCAGGGACCACGCCTAGGGCAAGCACGCCACAGAGCCAGGCCACGGGGGCCCCCAGGGACCACGCCTAGGGCAAGCACGCCACAGATCCAGGCCACGGGGGCCCCCAGGGACCACGCCTAGGGCAAGCACGCCACAGAGCCAGGCCATGGGGGCCCCCAGGGACCACGCCTAAGGCAAGCACGCCACAGAGCCAGGCCACGGGGGCCCCCAGGGACCACGCCTAGGGCAAGCACGCCACAGAGCCAGGCCACGGGGGCCCCCAGGGACCACGCCTAGGGAAAGCACGCCACAGAGCCAGGCCATGGGGGCCCCCAGGGACCACGCCTAGGGCAAGCACGCCACAGAGCCAGGCCACGGGGGCCCCCAGGGACCACGCCTAGGGCAAGCACGCCACAGATCCAGGCCACGGGGGCCCCAGGGACCACGCCTAGGGCAAGCACGCCACAGAGCCAGGCCACGGGGGCCCCCAGGGACCACACCTAGGGCAAGCACGCCACAGAGCCAGGCCACGGGGGCCCCCAGGGACCACGCCACAGAGCCAGGCCACGGGGGGGGGAGGGGGACATCACCTGAACGGCGCCGGAAAAAAAAGCAATAAATACAAATATAAAGAAAAAGAAAAAACAAACGAGAATAATAAAATAAAGAAAATAAATGATTAAAAAAAAAGAAAATGAAAGTAAAAATAGAAAAAAATAAATAAAAATAGATCAATATGAAAAAATAATAAAAAAAAATTAAAAAAAATATTTACCTGGCCACATGGGGAAAAATATAAAAAATAATAAAAAATAAAAAGAAAAAAGAAAAAAAAACAATAAAAGATAAAAAAAATCAACAATATAAAAATAAGTAAAAAAAAAATAATTATAATAAATTATAGCTGGGCCTCGCCCAGGAAAATAAAATGAATACACACAAAAAAAGTACATTAAAATCTAAAATTAAAAAAAAAAAAATAGTAAATAGCCATAAAAAAAAGACCAAATGCTCTGCTGGACTTTAAGAAAAATAATAATAATAAAAAAATAAAACAAGCAAATAAAAAATAAGATAAAAAAATAAATAAAGAACGAAACAAAAA